GGTGAAAATGCCAAAAGCAACTGAAACAAAAGCAAAAATTTACAAATGGGATCTAATTAAAGAGCTCTGCGCAGCAAAAGAAACTATCATCAGAGTGAACAGACAGCTTAAAGAATGAGAGCAAATTTTCGCAATCTGTTAACCTGAGAAAGGCCTAATATCCAGAGTCTACAAGGAACTTAAACAAATTTACAAGAAATAAGATCTCATCTAAAAGTTGGCAAAGGACACGAACAGACACTTCTCAAAATAAGACATAATACAGCCAACAAATGTATGAAAAAACCCTCAGCATAATTATTTCTTTAATTTCTCAGAGAAACATGAATCAAAACCACAATGAGATACCATCTCACACCAATCAGAATGGCTGCTATTAAAAAGTCAAAAAACAACAGATTCTGGTGAGGTTGTGAAGAAAAAGGAATGCTTTTTTAATGTTGGTTGGAGTATAAATTAGTTCATCCATTGCAGAAGAAAGTGTGGTAATTCTTCAAAGACCTAGAGGTGAAAATACCATTTGACTCAGCAATCACATTACTGGGTGTATACCCAAAGGAATATAAATCATTCTGTTGTAAAGATACATGCATGCATATGTTCACTGCAGCACTATTCATGATAGCAAAGACACGGAATCTCTCTAAATACCCATCAGTGGTAGACTAAATAAAGAAAATGTGGTACATATACACAATGAAATACTATGCAGCCACAAAAAGGAATGAGTTCATGTCCTTTGCAGGGACATGGATAGAGCTGAAAACCATTATCCCCAGAAAGCTAACACAGGAACAGAAAACCAAACACTGCATGTTCTCACTTATCAGTGGGAGCTGAATGATGAGAACACATGGGGAGAACAACACTTAACCAGGGCCTGTTGGAGGGCAGGGTGTGGGGAGGGAGAGCATCAAGAAGAATAGCTAATAGATGCTTGGCTTAATACCCAGATGTATTTGTTGTACCTCTGAAGTTAAAATAAAAGTTGAATAAATAAATAAATAAAATGTAGTCCATATTCGAAATAAAAATAAAGGAATCACATAGGTACATAAGTGAACTTATATTATATATATTGGGTAGACCAATGTCTATGCAATTGCAAACGCAGGGTACTTTTTATTGAAAAAAGATGACTCAACAGAATCAAGAATCTACAGGGCAGGGCCAGAGGCCTGAATATTTATCCGTGGACTGATGTAAGATTGAGTCTGAATCAGAGAACTTCCATTTGTCTGGCTTGATCTCAGAGTAACTATGGACCAGTAACCCTTGAGGGCCTCTGGCTTCCCCCTTTTTGAACAGGAATGTCAATGGTGATTGTTCTATACCAGTTCTACCACTGTACGTTGAGTGCGTAAGGCCAAATAACTTGAGTACACATTAGTTCAATGCCTTTGTATCTAGACATATTGTACCTGAGGAATCATATCTGAGGGGCATTATCTGTACTTTGACCTAATTTAAATGATATTTAGCCTGTGAGCTGTTACTATTTTACAATGAGAATTTTAGGGACCTCAGAGAGAGGATCGAGTATATTTTACATATGGGAGCTCATAAATTTCTGGAGGTCAGAGATCAGGCTGTGGAGACAGCTTCCAAAATTGCCCACAACAATCTCTGCCTCCTGGTATTCATGCCCTAACATTATTTGTGCCACAATGAGTAAGGTAGACCACTATAGCCAATGGGATATTGTGGAAGTGAGGAGACATGACTTTCAAGCCTAGGTCACAGAAGATATTACAACTTTAGCACATTAGCTCTCTTGGGTCACATGCTCTGGAGAAAATCAGGACACCGGCAGCGCTAGGACGTCTGTGTGATGAGGAACTGAGGCCTCCTGACGATAGTGTTCGAGAAACCTGTCTTGGAAGCAGATCTTCCAAGCTGTCAAGCTGGCAGGTGACTGCAGCTCTGGCCACCATGCTAATCACAGTCACTGCAGATGACAAGCTGGACCCACCTGGCTAAGCTGCTCTGAATTCCTGACTCACAGAAGCTGCATGTGATAAGAAATGTTGATTGTTTTAAGCCATTAGGTTTTGAAGAAAATTGTTAAGCAGCAATGGACAGCTAACACAAAACCCTTTCTACTTTCTTTACATTTGTTTTTGAGTAGGATTAAACAGGTATGTAAATGAACATGTATTATTTATATTGGGTGAACTAATGATTTCTGTTGTTATTCAAAGCAACCAAGCTTAAAGGTTTTTATAACTTTATCATCTAAAATCTCCAGATATGTTCATAATTCCTTCCCGCCTTCACAACATTCAAAGCTTACCAGCCTTACTGAAGCGACTATTAAATGTATATGACTAAACAGAATAAGACGGACGTGAACTGTTGAGAGGCAAACTAAACTCCTTTACTCCATGCTGAAATTAATAGCTTAGAATAGACTGTCGTCATTACGGAGGGTAAAAATATCAGGCATGTTTCCAAACAAAGCACTCAGAAAGTTTTCTTGTTTCCGATTAACTTCTTGAAGTTGTTTAACTAAAATACAGAAACATAGTCATTGTGTCTGGTATAATAGTTATTATCCTACGAGGAGATATTTTGACCTATTAATAAAATACAAATCAAGATTGAGAAAAACTTTGATTATAGGAGTCCCCCCGATCTACGGTTTTGGTTTCCAAGATATCCATGATCTGTGGTCAACTGTGATCCAAAAATACTAAACGGAAAATTCAGAAATAAACAATTCATAAGTTTTAAATTTCTGCCATTCTGAGCAGCATGATGAAATCTCCCACCATCCTGCTTCATCCTGCTCAGGATGTGAATTCTCCCTTTTTCCGGTGGATCCACACTGTAGTCACTCCCTGCCCTTTAGTCACCTAGTCTCTTCAGTTATAAGATTGACCGTCACAGTATCACAGTGCCACAGTATCGAGTCACCCTTATTTTACTTTATAATGGCCCCATTGGACCAGAGTACTGATGCTGGCAATTCAGAAGTGGAAGAGAAGCCGGAAAGTACTTCCTTTATGAGAAAAGGTGAAAGTTCTCCACTTGATAAGGAAAGAAAAGAAAATGTATGCTGAGGTTGCTAAGATCTATGGCAAGAACGAATCTTCTATCCACGTAATTGTGAAGAAGGAAAAAGAAATTCATGTTAGTTTTGCTGTCACATCTCAAACTACAAAAATTATGGCTACAGCAGGCAATAAGTGCTTTGTTAAGATGGAAAAGGCATTAAATTTGTGGGTGGAAGACAGGAACAGAAACGTGTTCTGGTTGATGGCATTGGGTTCAGTGCTATCCACAGTTTCAGATATCCACGGGAGGTCTTGGGACATACCCCTGTAGATAAGGGGGCACTAGCAGGTATGCTCCAACCTCAAGAATGTTAATTTTGATAAGTAAAAATAGGACAGGGTCTCAGCTATAGTTATCTCACAGTTATTATTATTATTATTATTGATATTATTTTTGAGATGGGTGTCTCACTTTATTGCCCAGGCTGGAGTGCAATGGTGCTATCTCGGCTCACTGCAACCTCTGCCACCCAGGTTCCAGCGATTCTCCTGTCTCAGCCTCCTGAGTAGCTGGGATTACAGGCACCTGCCTCTGTAGCAGGCTATTTTTGTATTTTTAGTAGAGACGGGTTTCACCATCTTGGTCAGTGTGGTCTTGAATTCTTTACCTTGTGATTCACACTCCTCAGCCTCCCAAAGTGGTGGGATTACAGGCATGAACTACCATGCCAAGCCTGTGTCAGAGTTTAAAATTTTCATGGACATGAAGTAGAAACTAGAACAAACAAAAGAAACTTTCATATTTCTAATTTGTCAACCAACATTGAAAATCAATAATACCTACCAAACAGATAAGTTGATTGACTCTTTTAATTGATGATTCATGAGGCAGTTAAAGCTATAAAATTTCTCATAACTTTTTGTCAATGATCAAATCATAACAACCTCATTTTTTCTTGTATTATGTTAAAAAATTTCAAATATGAGTAATCTAGTTTTAAATAGGTTAGACAAGTAGGTTCTGAGCTATTCCCTTCCTTCTGATAATTGTTCTTCAAAAATCCCATATTAGATAGTATTTTCTCCAAATGGCAATTAATAACCAATGTTCACCTTTTATTTTGCTGAGTCATCTATAGCCTTTGTTTAATTGACCCTCTATAAGGACAAGGACTGTGGTATGTTTCCCTCTGTTTCCTCAGCTTCTACAACAGATCCAACACGTAGTAAGCTTGAAATAATAAAATAAATAAGTCATGATGACATGCTAAATGTTACCCCCATGAATTAATATAACTGTAATAAATAGCAGAGAATTAAAATTTTAGTCTGTGAATCAAGATTACTAACAAAGGTGTAGAAGGTCTTTTTTTAAAAAATAGAAAATAATTTTCAAATCACTTATTATCACTTTCACAGACCCCAACAACTCTCGAGACATCAATAGTAAGATGTGTTAAAAGGTACATAACTTCCCTTATGTTTGCAGGTATTAATTTTATAACAAGCTTAGATACTCCAGTGACCAAAAGTGATTCCCTGAGACAGGGTCCAAATTACCTAATACTTTGGCAACACATTCATTTACTCACTGTTTTAAACATGACTATCACATAAGTGTGGAATCTTAACAAAATATAGTTTCATTAAGATTACTTATTGTAAGACATTAATTACTGAGGTTGGGATTTGATTCTTTATAGAAATAGAAGTTGTGTCATAGAAGGAATCAAAACTTGCAGGCAGAGTTTCAGAATCACATCTCAGCTTATGTCACTCAGTCTTGAACAAATCTCTCAACTATTCTGAATTCACTTTCTCATCTTAAACTGGGACTAATACTCTCCAGAATGTTGGGCAGACTAAGCAAGAAAACCTACGAAACTATCAGGGACTAGACAAACGGTAAGTATTTTTACGGCTACATTTTACTCTCAACAGAGACTTCTTGCTCTAAGCCCCTGGAATGGCCCTTCCTGGTCCCTGAGGCTGCTGAAAACTCACTGAGGACGTGGAGAGTTCAGCCTCAGGCTTCATGAGCAGCACACTTTGGTCCACAGCGCGAAGGGCACAGAGCGACTGCGGAGCAGCTGCCACTCGCAGATGGGTGTGTGAGGCTGGGAGACTTTGTGCTGGGCTGAAGCTCAAGTCCACCTGTGGAAAATGAAGGAAAAGTCAACCAGTGTTTTCCCCACTTCTGTGATCTTGCAGTCACCTGCATTCCCTAAGTCATCCTTATATTCAGTTGATATGACTGTGTTGTTAATTTCAGTCAGAAATCTGTTTTACATCTTTCCTTCACTATATTGCAAAGGCTTCTTAGTAGCTTAGTCTTGTCCTACGGAGACAACCGAAGCAGAATAAGGATAGACACCTTGTTTAACTTTTAGATGGCCATCTTTTGTTTTGTTTTGTTTTGTTTTGTTTTGTGATGGAGCCTTGCTCTGTCACCCAGGCCGGAGTGCAATGGCATGATCTTGGCACATTGCAACCTCTGCCCCCCGGGTTCAAGCAATTCTCCTGCCTTAGCCTCCTGAGTAGCTGGGATTACAGGTGCATGCCACCACACCCAGCTCTTTTTTGTATTTTTAGTAGAGACAGGGCTTCTCCATTTTGGCCAGAGTTGTCTTGAACTCCTGACCTCATGATCCACCCGCCTCAGCTTCCCAAAGTGCTGGGATTACAGGCGTGAGTCACCGCACCCCATTGGCCATCTTTATCTCTGATACATAACAAGGTAATTCTAGGTATTTGTACTTTTTCTTCAGGATTTGGGAACTTTTGAGTCTTAGCATTTTACATTCTCACACAATTGAATCAGCAGAGGAGACCATCATGAACACAACACTGACTGTATTTTATTTGGTAGCAGCTTTGTGTAATGGAAAAAGTGCTGTACTAGATGCCTAGAAATGTGGGTCTTACATAAACTTGTTGGGAACTGTTGGGCAGCCCATTTTACTTTTCTGAACTCAGTTTTCTCTGGGGTGAAATAGATGGCAGTATCTAGATTACAGTATCATTTATTTGTGTTCTTTGAATTTTACGTTAAATCACTCACCCTGTTGGCTAGACAGTTTTCAATCTCAAATTTTTCAGAGTCTCCAACAACTTCTCCATCTGGTAAAATGGCAAAGGTGAACATTCGTGCAATGGGAGCAATGTCTGACTCCACAGGGAACGATAAGACAAAACTGCCTTTCACTGGAACATGGAGAGAGTGAGACAGGATGGTGATAAGTCAGGACGCTGTTCCTTGGTCTTACCCAGTTTGGACTGTGTCCATTCATTCAATGGCTTAGTCTCTTCATGTGTATTTAGTTATGTGGTGAAATTAGTAGGCCAATGTATCCCTTCAGAACTTCACTTGTAGCATAAGTTAACAAAGTTCTTTTCACTCACATTTTTTAAATCTGATATTCCACTTAACTGTTGCCTTAATCAATTAAATATCAGTAGCTCCAAATTTTATGCATATCTATGTGACAATATTTTATTTACATTTCAGACTAGGGGTGATTCTCAATTTAAATATAGAGGTATAATTTGTAAGATATAATGAGTTTATTTTATAATATATGACTTTTAAAAAGCACTGTATGTAAAAAAAAAAAAAGTTCATACTAGTTGAACTTCCTAAAAGAATATTTAAGTTTTAGAGTTTTCATTGCAGTGTTAAACTCTTATAAGTACATTAGTATATTTCTACTGGAAGTATTAAATGGTACCAGAAAACACTTCAGAAAATACATTACATTTTAAAGCAGGCTAAAGGGCCATCAGGTAGTTACAAAAGGGTAACAACAAAAGTTCCATTTTCTGAACAGTCCACTGGTGACTTGAGTAGATGGCCCACATTTAGTTGAATAATGGTAATTATACAACCACGAGAGACTTACGGACAGCAAAGGTTCTGGGATGTTGGTACATAAAGAGAAGACAGATACCATCTGGTGTTGGTTCCACGTCTTCCTTTCCTCTACATCCCTCCTCTCCCAGATTCTCAGCTATATTGCTTTAAATGTCTGTGTTTCTAAGTTGTTTTCCAGTAACTTATTCTTGGTGAAGTTAGACAATACGTACGATAACAGTCTCTAGACATTGTTGAAACTCAAAATAGTAATGTAGGACAAGGACAATCATAACTGTAGAAGAACTATGATTATTTTTTCTTGACTATATGTGTTAAGAACTAAGTCTAATATCCTCAGAAATATTTTACAAAGTGTAATATAATATCAGGATGAACAAGGATAGCTATCTAATACACAACATGAAGACTGTAGTTAATAAAACGGTAGTATATTTTAGATTTCTGCTAAGTGAGTACATTTTAGCTCTTCTTGCCACAAGCACAAACACAAATGACGGCCATGTTACTTTGCATCACTATGGTAGCCATTTTACTATCTATATGTGTCCCATAATGTTATGTAGTACGCATTAAATAAATGCAATTTTTTGGAGACAGGGTCTTGCTCTGTTGCCCAGGCTGGAATGCAGTGGTGCAATCATAGCTCACTGCAGCCTCGAACTTCTGGGTTCACGTGATTGTACTGCCTCAGCCTCCCCAGTAGCTGGGATTACAGGTGCACAACACCATGTTTGGCTAATTTTTTATGTATTTTTGTAGAGATAGAGTCTTGCTATGTATCCCAGGCTGGTCCTAAACTCTTGAGTTCAAGCAACTCTCCCAAAGTGCTGCAATTACAGGCAGCAGCCACTGTGCATGGACACAATTTCCTTTTTAAAAATGATGATATTAAAGCCCTGAGATGGGTGGTTCTCAATTAAAAACTGTTTTAACTCTATGTAGAATATGGAATTTTTCTAACTTTATGTAAATTTTATGTTAGCCTAACATTACTTATTATTTTATATCACTATGTATTTATACTTCAAAACTCTAAGTTTGAGAAGAAAGGAAGTTTAAAATATCATTAAGGCTGTGTCATGCCATTCATATTTCTGTTGAGTTGGACAGATCAAGATTTAGCTCAAACATCAAAAAGGAAATAAGTTCCTTTTCTAAAAGGAAGGAAGCCCTTCTATCATTGTGTCTTGAGTTCAACATGGAAGGTGGGGTAGATTGAAATGTCATAAAAACAGCAAAACAAAATATGGGACTTTATTGCAAAGAATAGTGGTAGGAAATTAAAGCTTTTAATAATGCAATTTCCCAGCACACGTGTGTGCATGCACCCTGCCTTGCCACTGCTGGCAGCCTGAGTACACTCCATCGCTCCCTATCCCATCACACTGCCACCGACGTCAGAGCATTGGCAGGCACTAAATCCACCAACCCCACCCCTGCCAGGACTCTGCCCCTGCCCCGGGGGTGCCAGTGCAAAACTAGGCACAAAATGCACAGACCCACCCCTAGCCACGTGCAGACACTGCTGCCAGTGTGAATGCACACAAAAGATTCATACAGTCCTGCACCCATCAGCGCCCCACCCCCATGCTAACACCACCGTCAATGCAAATGCATGCACAGTTGCTGGTGGGGATCCCCCAATCCCCTGAGCCATATTACCATGACCACTGCTGTGAATGCCTGCACAAAGGCCAGCAACCTGGCACCTGCTAGCACCCTGCCGTAGCTGATGAGTGTGTACTCCACCGCTCTGCCACTGCCTCTGCTGCTGTTACATGTGAATGACGATTGAACCCTCTGCCACTGTCCTGCAAAGTGCTTTGGCTGACATCACCCATGGGAGTACTGTGATCAGTGGTCTGGGAGTACCTTGGCCCCTTCAGTGCAGCAGGTTCCTAACCTTGAGGAGCCAGAGAACAAAGTCGGAGCCAGATGCCAGTTTCCCAGAGTGACAGCATGCAATCCAGGGACCCTGAGCTAAGCCTTGCCCCTCCGGGTCCCTACTGCCCATGAACCTTCTGGTAACAAAGTCAGTTAACCGAACCCACCTTATACCACAATCAAACCCCAAAGGTCATCACATAAGATAAGAGGAAAAAATGGAAACAACAGCAATTTCTTTTTTCTTTTTTTTTTTAAAGACAGAGTTTTGTTCTGTCGCCCAGGCTGGAGTGCAGTGGTCCAATTTCGGCTCACCACAACCTCTGCCTCCGTGATTCTCCTGCCTCAGGCTCCCAAGTAGCTGGGATTACAGGCAGGAACCACCATGCCCGGCTAATTTTGTATTTTTAGTAGAGACAGGGTTTCTCCATGTTGGTCAGGTTGGTCTTGAACTCCCGACCGCACATGATCTGCCCACCTCAACCTCCCAAAGTGCAGGGATTACAGGCATGGGCCACTGTACCCGGCCAACAACAGCAATTTCTAAGACAGAAGAAACATCAGCTCACAAAGATGAGAAAGAACGAGCACAAGAACTCTGACAACTCAAAAAGCCAGAGCATCTTCTTTCCTCCAAACGATCACACCAGTTCTCCAGCAAGGGTTCTTAACTGGGCTGAGATGGCTGAAATGACAGAAATATCATTCAGAATGTGGATAGGAATGAAGATTATTGAGAGTCAGGAGAATGTTGAAACCCAATCGAAGAAGCTAAAGAATCACAATAAAATGATGCAGGAGCTGACAGACACGATTATCAGTATAGAAAGGAATATAACCAACCTGATAGAGCTGAACAACATTCTACGAATTTCATAATGCAATCACAAGCATTAACAGCAGAATATATCAAGCTGTTGAAAGAATCTCAGGCACTAAGTCCACCAACCCCACCCCTGCCAGGACTCTGCCCCTGCACTGGGGCTGCCAGTGCAAAACCAGCTACAAGATTGACTTTCTGAAATACAACAATCAGAGAAGAATAAAGAAAAAAGAATGAAAAGGAATGCACAAAACCTCTGATTGAGAAATATTGGATTATGTATGTAAAAAGACTAAATCTGCAACTCCTTGGCATCCCTGAAAGAAATGAGCAGGATGAAAGCAACTTGGAAAACATATTTTAGGATATAATCCATGAAAACTTCCCCTTCTAACTAGAGAGACCAAATTTGAATTCAGAAAATACAGAGAACCCCAAAATATACTTCACAAGAAGGTCATCCCTAAGACACATAATCATCACATTCACTAAGGTTGAAATGAAAGAAAAAAAAGTGTTAAAGGCAGCCAGAGAGAAAGAACAAATCACCTACAAAGGGAAGCTCATCAGATTAACAGTGGGGCTCTTAGCAGACACCTTACAAGTCATAAAAGATTGGGAGCCTTTTTTTTTTTTTTTTTTTTGAGACAGAGTCTCACTCTGTCACCAGGCTGGAGTGCTGTGGCAAGATCTCGTCTCACTGTAACTTCTACCTCCTGGGTTCAAGTGGTTCTTCTCCCTCAGCCCCCTGAGTAGCTGGGAGTACAGGCGCACACCACCACATCCAGTTAATTTTTGTATTATTGGTAGAGACATGGTTTCATCATGTTGGCCAGGATGGTTTCCATCTCCTGACCTCATGATCTGCCTACCTCAACCACCCAAAGTGCTGGGATTACAGGCATGAGCCACTGTGCCCAGCCAATATTCTTAAAGAAAACAAATTTCAACCAAGAATTTCATATCTGGCCAAACTAAACCTCATAAGTGAAGGAGAAATAAGATCCTTCTCAGACAAGCAAATGTTGAAGGAATTTGTTACCACCAGACCCATCTAACAAGGGCTCTAGAAAGAGGCACTAAATATAAAACGGAGAGACTATTACCAGCCACTACAAAAACACGCAGAAGTACACAGACCAGTGACACTATAGAGCAACTACACAAGTTGACAGACAGCTAACAACGTGATGACAGTTTCAAATTCACACATCTCAATATTAACCTCAAATGTAAGCAGACTAAATGCCTCAAGAGGCACAGTGGCAAGCTGGAGGAAGAAGCAAGACCCAGTGGTAGCTGTCTTTAAGAGACCCATCTCACATGCAATGACACCCATAGGCTCAAGATAAAAGGAAGGAGAAACACCTGCCAAGCAAATGGAAATTAGAGAAAAGCAGGGATTGCAAGACTAATTTCAGACAAAACAGACTTTAAACCAAGAAAGCACACACACACACGCAAAAAGACAAAGAAGGGAATTGCATAATGGTAAAGGGTTTCATTCAACAAGAAGACCTAACTAGACAAAATCTATACGCACCCAACACAGGAGCTCCCAGATTCATAAAATAAGTTCTTAGAGACCTTCAAAGAGACTTAGACTCCCACACAATAATATTGAGAAATTTCCACATTCCACTGACAGTATTAGACAAATCATCGTGGCAGAAAATTAACAAAGACATTTAGAATCTGAGGTCAGCACTGGATCAAAATGGATCTGATAGACATCTACAGAACTATCCACCCCAAAACAACAACAAGTACATTCTTCTCAACTGCACATGGCACTATTCTAAAATCAATCACACAATCAGACATAAAACAATCCTCAGCAAATTAAGAAAAATGAAATCATACAATCCACACTCTTGGACCACCATATGATTAAAATGGAATTCAATATGAAGAAAATCTCTCAAAATCATACAATTACATAGAAATTAAACAACCTGCTCCTGCATGAGGTTTGGGCAAATAATAAAATTTAGGCAGAAATCAGGAAGTTCTTTGAAACTAACAAGAAAAAAGATACAATATACCAGGATTTCTGGGACACAGCTAAGGCAGTGTTAAGAGGGAAACTTATAGCACTAAGCATTCACATCAAAAAGTTAGAAAGATCTCAAATTAACAACCTACATCTCAACTAAAAGAACTAGTGCATCAGCTGTGCTGTGCAGGGAATCCATGCCACACCCTAATCCCTACTTGCTGTTCAGAGCCTGAAAGTTACAGCAATGGAGGTTGCAAGACAGAAAAAATGGCAGCCAGCCTCTCCTTCTTTGAGTTCTGTCTCAGGGAAATGCTGAGTTGCTACCAGCCTGAAAATCCTGATGGGGGTGGGGCGGTGGTGTTTGGAGTCCTGGGTTGTGGGGTTCCCCACAATGAGGAGAAGTGGGATTCACATAAAAAATAGTCTGACCAAATATCCTTGATGAACACTGATGCAAAATCCTCAACAAAATGTTTGCAAACCAAATACGGCAACACTTCAAAAAGCTTATCCACCATGATCAAGTAGACTTCAACCCTGGGACGCAAGGTTATTCAAAATATGCAGATCAATACAGGTGATTCATCATAGAAACAGAACTACAGACAAAAACTGATGGTTACTTCAACAGATGCAGAAAAGGATTTCAGTAAAATTCAACACCTCTTCATGTTAAAAACTCCCAATAAACTGGATATTGAAAGAACATACCTCAAAATAATAAGCGCCATCTACGACAAACTCATAGTCAACATCATACTGAATGGGCAAAAGCTGGAAGCATTCTCCTTAAAAATTGGCACAAGACAAGGATGTCCTCTTTCACCATTCCTATTCAACACAGTATTGGAAGTCCTGGCCAGAACAATCAGTCAAGACAAAGAAATAAAGGGCATCCAAATAGGAAGAAATGAAGTCAAACTATCTGTGTTTGTAGATGACATGATTCTATATCTAGAAAACTCTATAGTCTTGGCCAAAAAACTCCTTTGTACAAAAATTACTAGCATTCCTGTACCAACAACAGCCAAGCCAATAGCCAAATCAGGAATGCAATTCCATTCACAATTGTCACAAAAAGAATAAAATACTTAGAAATACAGCTAACCAGGGAGGCAAAAGCTCTCTACAATGAGAATTATAAAACACTGCTCAAAGAAATCAGAGATGACACAAACAAATGGAAAAATATTCCACGCTCATGGATAGGAAGAATAAGTATCATGAAGTGGTCATATTGCCCAAAGCAACTTATAGATTCAACGCTATTCCTATCAAATGACCAATGGCGTCCTTCACAGACCTAGAAAAAACTATTTTTAAATTCGTATGGAACTAAGAAAAAGATCAAATAGCCTAGGCAATCCTAAGCAAAAAGAACAAAGGAGGATGCACCATGCTACTCAACTTCCAACTAACCTAAAGGGCTACAGTTACCAAAACAGCATGGTACTGGTACAAAAACAGACACACAGATCAATGGGACAGAATACAGAGACCGGAAATAATACTGCACACCTACAACCATCTGATCTTCAAGAAAGCTGACAAACACAAGGAAAGGACTCCCTATTCAATAAATGGTGCTGAGATAACTGGCTAGCCATAGACAGAAGACTGAAACTGGACCCCTTCCCTATACAATATACAAAAATCAACTCAAGATGGGTTAAAGACTGAAATGTAAACCCAATAAGTATACAAACTCTGGAAGACAACCTAGACAATACCATTCGGGACATAGGAAGTGAAAAGATTTCATGAAGAAAAGGCGTAAAGCAATTGCAACAAAAGCAGAAATTGACAAATGATATCTAATTAACCTAACCAGCTTCTTTTGCACAGCAAAAGAAACTATAGAGTAAACAGACAACTTAGAGAATGAGAGAAAACTGTTGCAAACTGTGCATCCAATAAAGGTCTAGTATCCACCATCTATGAAATTTAAACAAATTTACAAGGAAAAAACAAACCACCACATTAAAAAGTGGGCAAACGACATGAATAAACACTTTTCAAAAGAAGATATACATGTGGCCAACAAGCAAATGAAAAAAGCTAAATACAACTGAATATTAGAGAAATGCAAATCAAAACCACAATGAGATATCATCTCACATCAGTCAGAATGGCTATCATTAAAAGTCAAAAAATAACAGATATTGGCAAGGTTGTGGAGAAAAGGGAATGCTTATACACTGCTGGTGGGAATGTAAATTAGTTCAGCCATTGTGGAAAGCAGTGTGTCAATTCCTCGAAGAGCTAAAAACAGAACTATGATTCGAGTCAAGAATTTCAGTACTGGGTATATTCCCAAAGAACAGAAATTGTTCTGTCATAAAGACACATGCACACTTATGTTCATTGCAACTCGATTCACAATAGCAAAGACATGGAATCAACATAAATGCCCATCAGTGGAAGACTGGATAAAAAAAAATGTGGTACATATACACCATGGAACTATGCAGCCATAAAAATGTACACTATCATGTCCTTTGCAGGAACATAGATGGAGCTAGAAGCTATTACTGTCAGCAAAATAATGCAGGAACAGAAAACCAAATACTGCACATTCTCAGTTATAAGTGGGAGCTAAATGATGAGAACATAAGGCTACAAAGAGGAGAACAACACACAGTGGGGCCTATCTGAGGGTGGAAGGTGGGAGGAGGGAGAGCAGAAGACACTGACACCTACTGGAGGGCGGAGGGTGGGTGGAGGAAGAATATCAGACAAAATAACTGCCGAGTACTAGGCTTAGAACTGGGTAATGAAACAATCTGAACAACAATCCCTGTGACATGAGTTTACCTATATAACAAACCTGCACATGTGTCCTTCAAACCTAAAATAAAAGATTAAAAAATAAAATAAAAATAAATAGTAAAATTTGAGAAGGCTTCATTATTTAAAATCTGAATTCTGAAAATTAAACAGACAAATAGTTTAGGAATAATAATTTGGATAGTGTGAAGAATAGTGTAAAAAGAAAACAATATGAGGAAGCTCAACTTGGACAATTTGAAAAGTTTTAAAAATTTGAATTTAGGCAAATTGTGAACAAAATTCTTTCTAGTATCTTAGAGGTGTAAGGGCTTTTGATAATTCTGTGGAAAGTAAATCAGTAATTAATAAGTATTAAAATATGTGGTTAACATTGTTTTTTGATGAAACAATTGATGTAATTAGCTATATAGAGAAATTTTTTCTAATTGACTCAGTTACTTTCACTAAAATGTGGCATCTTCACAAAGTAAATAATTAAATAACTATTCCTCATTTTACTATATAGAGATTTTTACACAGGCTCTTCCTTTTATGAAGAAAATTCAAGTTGAAATATTAGAAAAGAAAATAATAAATATTTTAAAACCTTCGATTATTGCTGTGAACGTGATACATATAGCAGTATTAGAAGAAAATTATTCAACAAGAATTGAGGGGGAACAACCTACACATTGGGGTCCAGTCTCCATATCTAAATGTCTCTACACTAGCAGTGGGAAAAACCAATATTCAAAACTGGCAGCAGTCTTTAATGCTTAATTAAAATAATTATTAATTATTTGAGTACTGATTAATAACTTCTATATTTCAACCTTCTCAAAATTGTTTCAATTTTCAAAATTGAAAAATAAAAATTAAAAATGGATATTTTATTTTTCCAGCTTAGCAGGAAGAGAAAACACAAAAAGAGAAAATATTAGGCAAGAAGCAAATCCTAACGGTTATTAAGTTTAGCTCAGGGGTGCAGTGAAAGTTGATAAAATGTTTGCCTTAGTTTAGCTTAATTACAAAAATGTTCATGGGTTCTCTTTTCAGTGGTTTAACCTTTACATTATTTGACTTAGAATGGAAAATAATCTTGGTTCCTTAGTCCCCATTTTATTCTTGAAGGGAATCCAATTTCATGTATAAAGTACTCATGGCCTGGCACAGAAAAAAAAAAAAATCTAGCACCTTTCTTCCTTCTCATTTCCCATGATAATTACTCTGTTCTTCTCTGCAATATTAACATAATCAATGTACATTTTATTAGGGGTGGAGATGAATAGAAATAAGCTTAGATTTTAAAAAGATTTTTATTTTACTGTTAGAAGAAACAAACTAAAATGAAAAAAATAGTATCCTTTAGCAGAGTGACTGATACAGAGTAGAAAACAAAATTTATCTGTTGAGTGTCGAATTTTAAGATGCCAAAGAGTCACAAGAAGAGTATTTTCGTGTGTGTCCTCCTTATTGTGAAGAGGTGATAGAAATGATTTCCCCATTGGTGAACTGTCACTAAGGAAGGGTAAGGATGTGTTAGGGAAGCAAGGAGAGATGAACCTGAGGATACTCACTGTCTCCTGACTCCACAGGCAGAGTGTGGGTTCCAGATCTGACTATGCCTCCTTTAGCCATGATCTGAAATGAAAAAACAGTAAAGAACTTTTCTTGAGCTGGACACAGATCTCAGCATCGTCTCCCCACATGACTCACTTTCTTTCTTTCTTTTTTTTTTTTAATGTCAAAGTAGATTTTTATTACAGAACAATTTTTTCTATTAATTCAATCCTTTAAATAAAGCAACATAATACCATAAACTGACAATGACCTGGTAGCATGTGAATACTTAAGGCCGGAGAGGCATGTGTATTCTTGATAAATATAATAAAGGGCAATTTAAACTTTGGCATTAGTTTACATGAGTCACTTCAAGGTCAGTGACTGGAGAACTGTATTAAGAGAAACCAGAGGTAAAAAAACTCTTCAGGAAGGAGCCCTCTAACAATGTACATTTGAAATCAGGGAGCTAAAGATCCACTCTGAATGAACACCATTAAGCCAAGGATGTACAACAACCATCAACATCTGTTTCAAAAACAGGATGTTTCTAAAATGATACATCTCTTTACAAAGTAAACATTACAGTATTAATAACTACAGAGACACCATTGGGATGAGCTCCAGATCCGCCGCTGACGTCCATGAAGCACCCGTGGGCCATGGCTTAAGGCATCTATCTTAATCCTGGGGCGTTAAGAACATCTTCTTTGCTTTAATCGGTTGTATGTCTCCATTTTCATCTTCTTCATAATTAGCATGGTCTCTCTTTCTGGCAAACTTTTTCCCAATGTCCCCACCAAGGTCTCATATCTTCTAGCCATCTCTTCATCTGACACATCGAGCTTCACTGTTTCATCTTCAACTTCTTCTGCTTTGTGCTTAGCATTCATATGAAGCATCAATTTCTCCACCTCAGGATGAAATCCTCTGAATGACATTCTTCCATAGAGAAGATCTTCACATAATAAGAAACTCTGCTCTTCTATTATGAAACTCTCTTTCTCTTTAAGCTCTGGCAAATCCAAGTACCAGTGCTCTTCACTAATTATTTTCTTTTCTTCCTCTTCCAGTTGTTTCTTGGTTTCTGAGTCCAGTCCCCTTTGCATAAACTTCACGTGTAGCAGATTCTTGGACAACTTTGTCTTGCGCTCGGCTGCCATGGCGGCTCCCGCCCAGTGCCGCACTCGGCCGCGAGCCTCACCGCGCATGCGCCGATGGCCCCAGGCCTGGGTGGAGGAGGGGCTGGGTGGGTGGGTGGAGGAGGGGCTGGGTGG